CCGTGAAAACTAGTGTAACCAGAAAAATCTTTTTTTGTTAATTAACCCTAATCTTCGTAAGATGGCGACTTAAGAGTTTCGCATTGTTAAATTAATCATTGGATTAATGCTAGAAATTTTGATCTGAAGCTATCGGAAAACTCGTGAAATTAGTGCTAGACGATGATTTAGATAAATCTTGAAATTCGAGTCAAGGTTGTCCTCGCTTGTAGTTTTGTGGAGCCGCGACTTTACGCGCTATCTAAAGCAGAAGAATCTTTAATCTCCAAAGATGGCGTTACTAAATTTCATCAACCTTTGCGTTTTACTGAATTCCCACAACGGTTAATTATCTCAATGATGACTGTAAGTCAGAATGAAACTCATGAATCGAACATAATAAATCATTTTTAATTTGATAATGATAATTTATAATGTTATTCAACTATTGTCGACACTTCACTGATGACAAAAATGTCTACGTAATTAATTAACCTTCAAGTAATGTTGGCTAGTAACAGATTTATTATTAGTCTTGCTAGGATTGATTCAACACTTTTGGAGAACCATTTTTGTGTTAAAATTGAATTATTGTAAGGTAAGCCTCATTTTTGTCATTAAAAAATATAATTAATTGAATCATCCTTTAACCTTTCTCTTCTCTTCTCTCATTTCTATTGCCTGTGTTTTCTGTATGTCTGTGTATCTTAAAATTATTATGGATTTCGTCTAATTATGTGTTTTCAAATTATCAGTATTACTTACAAGTGAATCAACTGCTGAACAAAGCATGTCATCAGCTGCTCTTGAAATTTTATTGGCAACCCTTTTGATATCATGAGGATTAATTGCTGAATGTCGTCTCCTATGGAATTGCTGTAAATCTTGTAAATTAATTGATGAATGGCGACGTTGGTTAAGATTGGATATCTCAGTTGGATTGATGCTTGAGTGACGGCGGTTGGTTAAGTTGGAGGTTGAATTGACTCGCGACATACTTCGATTATCAACAGTCGGTGAGGAAAGAGCGATTTCAATTCGAGGAATGTTTATAGCATTATCTGAATGACGACGGGTTTTTAAATTACTTCCAGGTAAACCCAAAAGATTGCTGTTCTCAGGAGAAGAAGGATCAGATACAGATACTTCATCGCCCGATTGACGCCGAGATTCTATTTTTAATGTTGGTGGACGTTGAGGATAAAGTGGATTAGTTGGTTGATTAAAATTAATCTCAATTGGAACCCTGTAAACATCGGACGAAAGAAAGATGGGAATTAGAAACAAAATTTTCATCAGTAAACACCTTTAATGCAAGCCAAGTCATTCCCATGAAATTGATAAACATCTGAACTTACAAAAGATGATTAATATCACCAGTAACATTATACCTATATTGTAATTATATATTAGTATACCAGTGTATGATTAGCAATAAAATTTATTAAAATAATGAAATATAATAAAAACAAAATTCAAGTCATAAAATGATCTGACAAAAAGTTTTGGCGACTGATTTCGAACGAAATCAAATCAATTAGTCAAAAATTTAATCACCAAATAAATTGAAAGTCCATTAATCTCAGGTTTTAATTTCATGATAGTTTAGAGAGTTAGATTTGAGTATATCAAGATTTGCAAATTGAATCTGAAAATGAAAATTTTACCCAAAATTGCAGATTGCTTATTCAACGGAAAGATTCCAATATTTTATACTGGATAAACATAAAAGTTTAAAAAAGGAAATAAATTTGCTTAATTAACAAATACATTTGATAAAATTAACGCCTCAATTTTTCTATTATATTTTTCATTGTCCGGTTCCACAGCTTTAAAAGTGTCTTGATGATAAAACTTTATAGATGAATTAGTTTGGGCGTTTTTTGAAAAATGGGAAATTTTATAATAATTTATTTATTACTATTAGGCCAAACTAGCCCATAAATTTGATTTCAATCCTAACGTTATTTATTGAACGTTTGAAGTTTAAAATTTTTCGCAGTAAATTTCATGGCTCAATAAAGTTGGCACCAGCTTTAAGTCCTTTTAATTAACGAATGAATTCAAATTGAACATTGTTGTTGGGTGCAAATGAAAGAGAATAACGAAATCAAACCGATGGTTATCCAAAAATTGAGTCAACAAATTTATATTTTTTGCATCCTGGCTTTTCATTTCATTATTATTTAGCCAGAGAGATTTGAGTATACAGTTTGTACAAAGATTCGCACATTAAAATGAACTAAAATTTTAACCAAACATTGTAGATTGCAACGGAAAGATTTCGATATTTGACGATGGCAAGCATAGGAACTTAAAGCGGAAAATAGATTTAATTAATTAAGAAATATAAGTGATGAGATAAACGCCTCGGTTTTTATTACATAATTAATTATCCGGTTCCAAAGCTTTAAAAGTGCCAAACTTGTTGATAAAACTTGTACTACAGTTCTTGTAGAATGATTAAAATGTGTTTCTCGTTTTTGTTCATTTTCATGTTAATCACTTCTCAAGTTGCATCTAAAAATTCATGTAATGATGAGTGTTTAACCAAAACATATTGTATATCAAGTGATGGTTCCAGTGTTTGCTCAAAAAATAATCTGGTTACAGCTCAATTCAAAGTGATTCCAGTTTTTGGTCAATATGATAATCTTCAAATAACCCTGAAAGGTTATAATGTGGCACCAATTGATGAAAAAACAATCAAAGTGAGCTTTGACAAACCGCACTCTCATCCAAATTTAAACAGTATATACAGTTGTTACAAGCCATCTTTTGGTTCAACTTGTGCAAAGTTTGATGAAGGCAACTACAGTGTAACAACTGGATCATCGTATTACATGGATGGTGTTTTGTATTGTATCTGGACTTTCGGCATTGATGATAATATCTGGCCATACCGTCTAGATCTGATTGGTAGCAAATATGGATCTATATCAATCTATGACGACTCAATGCAAGTCACAGTTGCTGAAGACAATAGTCAACTCCCAATTTATCACGCTCAATATCTTAAGTGCTGTAATAAGGTTCATGGTAATGATCAGTTTGTGCTCACTTTTGACCAAACCGATAAACAAATCCGTTATCGACTTTATTACTGGAAAGAAAAGGACGATCTAACTGTAACTCTAACGCGAAAAGATGGAATCCAATTACAATTTGAATGTAATTTTTATTCAAATAAATTAAAAAGCTATATTAGCAATGGCACTGTGCGATTTTCGGTCGATCAACAACTTATAAAAAAGGTCGTGATCTATCACTTAATATGCTCATGGGCTACTCCTTTTGTTTTGAGTAATTCAACAGTCAGCATTGATACATCTACCAGTTACTTTGACTTGCAAGTGGAAGTCAATGGTGACACAGTTTACACTGAGAAATATGTTACACTGGAAAATTCATCACATTTGGTCAACTTGAACTTTATTTTGATTGTTTTTGCAGTTTTGCTTCAATTTTTGGTGTTTTATCCATAAACTGACTACTATCAAATGTTTTATCGCCAAAAATAAAAACCCGGAACGGAAATATATAAATTGCAAAAGCATGAAGCTCAAAAATGAGATTCTTTGTTGCATTAAAAGTTGGTTTATTAATAATAAAACCATCGATAATTATTGGTAGTAATTATTACAACTTGTTCCTTCATTGCAACTCTTATGAACATTGAATAACCTTTTCAATAAACTAGAATTTCAATTCTTTAAAATTTTTGCATATTTATTCAGCCAAAAAAGCAAAAGTCAAAATATCAAATCGACTTTTGAAATTGATATAAAATAAAAATTTATCTTAAAACCGAGTGGTGAATTGGTTCGGCGTTCATTTGACAAAATGAAAAATTTATGATAATTTTGAATCTAATCATCTTTCAGAATTGCAACTTCGTTCAATTTTTGCAAAAATGGGTAAAATTGTGCGATGTTGCAATTACGAAATTTCTTGCGAAATAATTGTAAGTGTATGATTATCAGTTTAATCGGTGAAAATGAATCCAACTCTTCGATAAATTGTAAATAAGTGTGAATTTAATTGTTATTAAGTTTTGGTGTTTTGCATCAAAACCGTGAGGCCGATATGCAGCATCAAATAAAACATTGCAGATTACTTATTCAACGAAAATATTTCAATATTTCATGAAGGATAAACATAGGAGTTATCAAGATAACACTGATGTAATTCATTAAAAATAGCCGATAAAATCAATTAATATGTGACAAAATTTACGCCTTGATTTTTCCACTACTAATTAGTCGATTCCCAACCTTTGAAAGTGTCATATTAGATGATAAATTTTTTGCCAGGAAATGATTAAAATGTATTTCTTGTTAATCTTCATTTTTATATTAATTAATCTCCAAGTTGAAGCTCAAAATTCATGTAATGATGAGTGTTTAACTAAAAGATATTGTTTATCAAGTGATGGTTCTGGTGTTTGCTCAAAAAATAATCTGGTTACAACTCAATTCAAAGCGATTCAAGTTTTTGGAAAATATGATTATCTTCAAATAATCCTGAAAGGCTATAACGCAGCACCAGATGATGAAAAAACTATCAAAGTAAGGATTGATTCAGACGGCCATTCAAATGTATACACTTGCTATAAATCGTCTTTTGGATCAACTGATGCAAGGTTTGATCGGGGCTCCTACAGTATAACAACTGGATCATCGTCTTACATGGATGGTGTTTTATCTTGTACTTGGACTTTCAATAATGGTGATTCTATCTGGCCACTAGGTGCAGATATGATTAAATACAGTTCCCAATTAATAATACTCTATAACGACACGCCGTCTGGAACTGTCGTCAAGACACTAGTCAACTTCCAATTCATCATGCTCAATATCTTAAGTGCTGCAATAAGGTTCATGGTAATGATCAGTTTCTATTGACTTTTGACCAAACCGATAATCAAATACTTTATCGACTTTATAATTGGGAACTCGAACGGGATAGCAAAGTGACTAACTTTGACTAGAAAAGATGGGCGCAAGTTACAATTTGAATGCACTCTTTATGCTGATGTAAAAGGGTATATTATCGCTGGTATTGATCGTTTTTCTGTCGAAAAACAACTTTTCGTGGTAATCAATGAAGAAATATGCTCATGGGCTACGCCTTTTGTGCTGGGCGACTCAAGAATCAGTATCGATGCATCTAACAGTGTCTTTGACTTGCTGGTGGAAGATGACTCAGGCATAATTTACGCTGAAAAAGGTGTTACATTGAAAAATTCATCACATTCGGTCAAATTGAGCTTGTTCTTGATTGCCTTTGCAGTTTTGTTTCAAGTTGCATTGATTCGACCATAAACCGACTATCAAGTAGACTATCATTCAAAAGCAAAAACATTGAATGATAATGAAAAACATAAAGTTCAAAAATGAAATTTTTATCTTTTGTTACAAAGTTAATTCAATAAAACAAATTGATAATTAGTAACAGTTACATCTTGATTGTGGGAAATATTGATCGAAATCGGAAAAATTATGGTTCTAACTTGCTAACAGAACTAAGAAGTACTCGAAACTTCATCACAAAGCCTGTAATTTTGCCTTTGTTCTTCGGGGAACTTGAGGCTTTGATTTTTTGGACCGAATTAGAGTTAATTAAAATGAAAAGTTGTGCAGTTAACTATTAAATTATTTATTCACGAGTAACAATTGATTTATAACTGAATAGAAAGAAAGATTGGGATGATTGACTGCAATGTCTTTTTGATCAAGAAATACATTCATTATTTGAATTATTATTTCTTGTTTCATTTCATTTCACTTTCTTTACTTTTTTAGGTTTGATCGTAGTTGAACTCATAACAATTATGGATGGTGATATTTAAGGCAAAGTAGGTTTCAATACCGAGCTGGATAATTACCTAACGATATCAATATTTGATGGTGAATAAAGTAATGAACCTCGGAGTATTAAAGACACAGTTGAGCCATTCAGCCGATAAAATCAATCAATATGTGATAAAATGTACACCTTAATTTTACCATTACTCATTAGTCAATTCCAAAGCTCAGAATGAGTACTCATCTCGTGTACTCAATGTGAGATCTATTTTTAGCAAAGAAAGAAGTATGTAATCACATTCATCAATCTCTTTCATCATTTAATGATTATTTAGCTAGGGCAATTTGTGTATATTTTCACACTCAACCTTAAATGAAGTGAAATATCTATTGCATACCACTTATGCAACGTAAAGATCATCATATTTAATACTGAATA